TTCAAATCTTTTATTAAGATTTTATCAATTTATATGCTTTAATTAACTAATTAATTAACTAACTAGTTAGTTAATAATTAATCATATAAATATACAGCTTACAATTTACTAGAAAAGCTCATAAAAATATTATTATTTAATCTATTTTTCTTTTTATTTTCTTTTAATAAATTTTTTTATATTTAATAATATTCAATATAATTTTATATTCTCAGAAATTTAAGTTTAGTTTATTATATAGATAAAGTTTTTATATATATATTCTATAGTATATAAAATAGATGAACTTATAAGTCTCTATTAAAGTCAGCTCACATTGAATTTATGAAGAAAATAAAATTGACAGAGATTTGATTTCATTGATTTGAATAAATTTTTTATATTATTTTATAGTTTTAAAGAAGATATAATAAGAATATAAATTAATAAAAGTAATTATATGTTTTTTATAAAGTTATAGTATATATGCATAATAGAGTTTTTTTGATAGAGAAATGAGCATCTGATTTCTGTATTTAATTTTTATTGTGAATTTGTAAAATTTGACAGCTAGAAAATAGATGGCAGAGCTCAGACTCACTATGACATGAGAAAATGTTGATAAATGCCTGAGTTAATTATGTCATGTACATCTACATATTTAGTAGTTGTAACTAGCTCACTTAGAGTTCTAGAATACAACAAGGTTGATATTGATTCTCTTAGACTCACAGCTTATTTTTAAAACTTAGATCATTAAGTTAAAGAGTTGTTAACATTAGATGTAAAGTATAATATTTTATAACAAATATATAGCTTTTATAAATTGAGAATATTTCTTGATTTTAAGAGTGAAAATTATAAGTTCAATTCTTCTCTCTATTCTATAGAGTATCATTTCTTTTTATTGTGAATGATGTCATATTTTCATGTTGAGGTGAGAGAGGTTAGGAAAATAAAACAATTTGAATTTGTGGCTCGCTCAGTGGATGTTATTACAGTTAGACCAGTTACCTGGCAAAACACCCAATCACCAATAATCTAGGAGTAATTAATTATATTACTGGATGAAGTATAATTCCATTGGGGTCACCTGATCCGTGACAATTACGGCTACTCTAGTCACGTGCATGATAGCTCAGCAAGCTCGTTTAATATAAATAACAACCTCCTCTTCAGGAAAGCATCAGATCAATCAATGAAATGAACCTCAACAAACTAACATCATTGAGACAACCACAACGCCGAGAAAACCAACTATAAGTGGATGCTGTTGGGATATCTGAGCACACTTTGGCTATTCTCCTGTTCTTGATAGTTGAGTTCTCAAATAGAAGAGATTCATCCCGTTACTTGACTGCCGGCGGAAAATCATGAGCGGACTCCGTAGTTTGGTGAAAGATGGGTGGCATCCAAAGGGAAATGATGGTGGTAGGGAGAGTTGGCGGGGTGATTTCCAAGGCATAAACCAAGTTGTACGTCTTGTCTCTTTTGATCCTCTGTTAAACCCCTCATCAAGAACATTCCGCCTGCCCATACAATTAGCTGCCTGTTATCCCTAATTTGTTTCCTAAAATGATATAGGCCGGCTGGGTGGGCAAAGGGAAACATAGCAGTTCCAATGACTCCCGTGTTGAGCATGTATCTCGGCCACTATCCTCTCTCAAGGATCCTGCGTCATTTCCCCCCCCACCTAAACACATAAATCGACTCGGTGTTGAGAGAACTTTGAGCTCGACTTCAACTTCAGACACCGGCCTGTTAAGACCCCCTTTGAGCTCCTCACAGTCTCAATCACCACAGGAACAACACCACGCTGAGGAAGAAGCCATCTCGAAGAGGGCCCCGCCTCCTGTCCCGTACCGGGTAAACACCACAGGAGTATCCACGCATAATGTACTTTCTCCTCCCGTTCACCAAAGTCACACCTCAACAGGGTCAACAGAGGAGTTTAAGTCCAACCCAAGCCTCACACCAAAACCAGCTTTGCCACCTAGATTACCTCCACGAGGCGCACCACATCCACATCCACAACCATCTCAATCTTCATCTCCCCCACCACCTCCAGCGAATGAAACTACAACAAATGGACTTGTACCGACAATAAACCAAAGGTCTATTGATTTCCTGGGCGAGGCGGGCGTTTCCGTCCCAAGTCTCGGTATCAATGGAGGGAACTCTGACCGGCAGGAACCGGCTCCCAAATCAACAGGAGGAGCATCACCATACTCCCCGCAGAACGAACTTCAGGCGCGATTTGCCAAAATGAGCGCATCGTCTCCAACTCTATGCTCTTCTGGTGTATCGAAGCCTGCAGAAGGCACCACTATGGAGCAAAAGCAACATGCTGTGCGAACTGCACATTCGTTTAGCCGGGACCCCACTTCTGTATCATCAAACGATGCGCGAAGTGCAGTTTCGACGGCATGGAATTTCCGCGAGCGTCACAGTGAACAGATTGACTCTGGAAAGAAGAAACTGCTCCAGATAGATCAAAAGTATGGCATTTCAAAGCGAATCAACAGTTTTATTGAAGATCAGAAGTCCCCAGCATGCCCGGATCCCCAACCTCCACCCCATGCTAATGCGGCTTATAGCCCCCAGCCGTCAGGCGCCTATGCATATAACAGACCAGATCTGGAAGCATTGAATAGCCGCAAACCTCCTCCTCCACCCACTCCCTCAAAGAAGCCGGGTATGCAAATTCATCCTGTTGATGGACATCCTCGAGCTGCTCCACCACCACCGCCACCACCATTACCCCTCGGGACCAAGCCGCGTTAAATCTGCATGCGGGTGGGGATCAAAGCTCGTGGTTGAATCATACAATGGCGTTTCTCCAAGGGGATTTGATCGGTGGTCGTTTTGCTTTTCTTTTGGATCTCCATGGTGTTTTAAGGGTATCATTTATCTTCACAAATGAGCCTATGTGTATGGTGTGTCAACGGGTGTAAAAGGGGAATCATTAGTCTTATTTTACTTTTTACATGCTCCCCCAATTCCGGCATCTTATCATTACTAGTATTATTATTGACCTGGGTGGTTTGGCTTTGTTATTTTTACCGCCTCTGTTTTGCGTTTGTATTCTTTATGACCACTATGCATAATATTATGATTTCTGTCCCTTAGTATTGATGGCTGTCAAAGAACTAATAATGGCGATTAATTGCATAATGGTGTTTACCTCTTTTCATTGCTTCGTTTTACCCATGAGGTGTCAATTGATCCGTGTAGGGGAGAATCGGGCATGCAAAAGGGAAATATTCAATATTCTTCACCAACGTCGATTGATTGGATTGAATTGTTTTTATATTTTTTATATTTTATTCTTTTACCTTTGTATAGGTGGCACATTGCTACCATCTTGCCTGCTCCCTAGTAATATTGGTTTTGAATTGAATATCAGATCAGCTTCGGGTTATAAATAGCTCTCCTGTCAGTTATTTGTAGCAGTTCTTCACTTCCCTCCCTAACTTCACTTAAATGCTAATTCCTCATTTTGGGTTGGAAGTTGCTCACGTCAAAACTGCAGACAAGCCTTCATGTTCACAATCCCCTAACTCTTCAACCATCCTTCAACCATCAATAATGACCAGCGACGAACCGCAACGAACCAGGCACTGCAGCCTATCACCAACTCCCCACTTCCCTTCCCGTACCACCCCTATCAAACCCGCAAAGCGCACCGTTTTACGCAGCCCTCTTCCTCGAGACGAAGTGGTTTGCTACCCAGCAGCCTACATTCCCCCGCCCAGCACTCCCCTCGCTACCAACACCAGTCCATTGCTCTCCCTCCCAGTGGGAATAAATACATAAACTCCCTTTCACCACCACCACCACCACCACCACCGGGAGTGTGTACTCGAGTGGCTGGGTGCGGGATGCTGGCTGAGGGGATTTTGGAGATGTTTGGGGTAGCGGTGGGGAATGCATTATTAGAGATTGATGTTGGCCATTTTCGGACGGTTAGGGATATGCTGGATGGGTGGGGAGGCGAGAGGAGAGGGTGAGGGTTGGGAGGAACACCGCTGTTGTTGCAGGGTTTGGGCGGAAGCGCGAGATGGAGGAAGAGGAGGAGGAAATTGAAGTGCTTGAGCAGAATGAGAATGTTAAAGGAGTGCTGATGATGTGGATTTGTTTGGAGAGTGTTCGAGCTGGTGATACGAATTCCCTTTTCTTGCTGCTGGTTCCTGACTATCACAAAGCTGTCTGTTTCGGGCCTCTCTTTTCTTTTCTGTCATTTCTGTTCCTGTAATATCTAAAAGACATCTCCGGTGCAAAGCGGAGGAGACATATCTAATACTTATTGCAGTTCCTATTTCCTCTATGGTTTCTGGTGTTTAATTGCTTTATGCAGACATTTTACAAAGCGTACGGCTCCCCTACCGAGCCATGTATGTCCATGATAGAGTGGTCGGGTGGCTTCTCCATATAGTACCTATCTAGAGATACACATGAAAATGTTGTAGTTGCGGTCCAATAAAGAAGCATGTAAAGTAATTAGTTCGCGTTAGTTAATTAGCGATAATCCTCCCCCGCCGTTCTTTTTGGCGTCGTTTTCTTTATCAATCTTATCTCTGTTGCCCCTCAGGGATTCAAAAATGTGGCAACACGGGAGCCCTGGAGGCGCCGAGGAACGACCAGGCAGCCGCGAAAAGGCTAGACTTAAAAAAAAAAAAAAATGTGGGGTTCTCGGTCCCCAACAATCTCAAAAGATCTAAACCAAGCAACCTCGGGGATGTGGCGAGCGTCTTTTGACTCGTCCGCCTCCAACACAACGGACAGATACAACCAGGGGAGAGCTCTTCGGCTGTTTCCCCAACTTTCGCCCCGGTACATTATTACATAAACAGAACCTCGGTCAGGTGACCTACAATGGTCGGGTGATTGTTCGGCGAAAGTAAGGACCCACGGCGCTAGTCCCGAACAGGCAACGTGCGCATTCAACAAACATCAAAAATTTCCTGCTTCGTCAAAAAGTCAAAAGAGCCGCGACGAGCGAGAGCGAGAACCGCACGACACCAAACAGCTTCAAAATATAGGGAGATATATTTGATATCAACAACCAAATGGGCGATGATACCCAAGTGCTCTAGATCTAACTAACCCTCCACTGCTGCTGCAGGACGGAGAAGGAAGTAGTTTTATTCTGATGTTTTTAACTGTACTATCCACCATTGACGGATGGTTCATCTCCTTCGCTGGCCCTGGTCTTGCATTGCCTGGACAGCTTCATATATTTTATGCTTGCGACGAACTTGTATTATTCTCCGCATCAACGGCTCTGGTGGTTGATCTCTCTGTGGTTCGGGATCACACCTCAGGTTGCCAATTGGACCCAGGCTTTGCGTTTCCCAACAATCCGCTGTCCTGCGCTAACTGTCATAGTGTTTTTTTACTGCTTGGGCTGAATGCTCTGCTCTGGTGTGGATCTCCCAGACTCATAGTTTTTGATTTCCAGATTGTAGTTTCTTTTCTTTATCTTGTCTTGTTGTTTTTTCATTTTATTTCTTTTTTCAATTCAATTCAATTCATTTCATTTCTTTTCTTCAGTTAATATACCCAAGAAGATTGTCTCCTTTGAGACCACTGCTGTCCTTCTACTTCCTCTTCCTTTTCCTCCCCTTTTCCTTTTGACAATCAGAGTTTCAACTCTAACCCTATTATTCTTGCCTCTCAGTCCCGGATGATATAATTATAACATCACCGGTAAATTCCATTTGATCTCCCAAAGCTTTTTCCTTTTTTTCTTCTCCTTTTTTTTTTTTTTTTTTTTTTTTTTTTTTTTTTTTTTTAAATTATACATATATTATTCCAGCCTCTTCGTCTTCCTGGTGAATCCTTCAACAGTAAAATAAATAGCCCTCCATAAGGGCTATTATCCGGTGGGCATACTGGGTATAACCTCCAAACCACCTACTGATTCATGTCAATTGTGTTGGCTACAGGAATACCACTACCACCAACCCCCACCACAACCCCACCATGAGTTCCTCTGTCTATCTAAGCCTTCCTCCCTCTTCGTTTTTCAAGTTCCCGCCTTCGCCCCTCCCGGAAACCATCCCGCCGCCCACTGTTGCCAAACCAACATGGTATCAGCCCTTCAATATTCCTGCGGATCTCTACCGGAAAGCCTTGGCACCCCAGGTGCCTCTCACCATCGCCGCCCTCTATGCCACCTCTGTTGTCCTGATGAACCGTGTCAATAAGAAGAGAGGTTACAAACCCTGGGCCTTAGGTAAAACGACTGCCTTCAAGGCCTTTGTCATCCTCCACAATGTCTTCTTGGCCGTCTACTCTGCCTGGACTTTCGCGGGTATGATCCGCGCTTTCTACCACACCTGGCCCGAGCGTGGCGAAAAGTATAACGTCGTCAGAGTTGCCGATGCCCTTTGCAAGATCAACGGCCCCCGTGGTTTGGGAAATGCTGCTTTCTATGATCCTGCCCAAAAGAAATGGACCATGATCAGCCCGGAATACAGGTTGGGACCTGGTGGCGTACCTGACTCGACTGATGTTGGACGTCTCTGGAATGAAGGGTTGGCCTTCTTGGGCTGGCTTTTTTATCTCTCCAAGTTCTACGAAGTTTTCGATACCGCAATCATCCTGGCCAAGGGAAAGAGGAGTTCCACTCTCCAGACATACCACCACGCTGGTGCCATGATGTGTATGTGGGCTGGAATTAGGTATATGGCGACTCCCATTTGGATCTTTCCTCTATTTAACTCCGCCATTCACGCTATGATGGTATGTTTTTTACCCTTTTCTGCTGTTTGCGAAAGAGGTGTGTACCTTAACCTAATTCTATACAGTATCTCTACTACACCTTGACTGCACTATCCATTCGCGTGCCTGTTACCATTAAGCGCAGCTTGACCTCCCTGCAGATCACACAATTTGTTTTTGGCTCCACCTTGGCTGCTTGCTATATTCTCATTTCCTACACTTTCCCGATTGGTGTTCCCCGTTCGGTTGCCATGACTTCTTTGGCCTCTGCTATTTCTGATGCCGTTACCGCCGTTGCTGTTGCGCCAAATGACACCGTTGGAGGTATGAGTCCCTGGCTCAAGAAGCTGGCTCTCCGTGCAGCTGGAGCTGAGGGAGTTGCTGAGCACGTGCTTAATTCTAACGGAGAATTATTTGGCGTAGACGGACGCCAAGCAGCGCAGGCTCTTCTTGCGAAACAGGAAACCCGATATGTCTTAGAACCCCGTACTTTCACCTGCCTGGATACCTCTGGCCAAACCTTTGCGCTCTCTCTTAACATCCTCTACCTCTTGCCCCTGACTTTCCTCTTTGTCCGTTTCTTTGTCCGATCCTATCTCCGCCGTACTTCCCAAGGCGCCAAACACCCAACCCATGCTCACGCAGCCGAGAAAGCTGGCATGGATGCACTAAAAGGTGTCACCCGGGAAATTCGGAATGCTGTTATCGAAATGCATGGTGATGACGGAAGTGTCCTTGAAACAGATTCTGGAATAGGCACTCCCCACCCGGAAGCTTATGAGGCGAATGTCGATGACATTATGACATACAAGCAGCTGAAAGCTGAGAGAAAAGAAGCCGCCATTGATAAGCATCCATCTCCGCCCCAGCTGGCACACCCCTCCTCAGCAGAATCAACACCTCAACCGGTCCGTATGAACCGAGTAGCTGGCAGTACACAAGGCTGGCAGCGCTCGCACTCCAAGGCTAAGGGCTACGAAGAAGCTGACTTGATAGGGTTTTGACCAATAGATCGATACACGTTAATTGAGTAACTACAACCTTCAAGTATGATTACTCTGAACTTGTGTACCCGTCAGGCAAGGACAGGGATAATCCACCCGTGAAAACGGATACGAGGCGGAGAGGAAAATACAGAGAAAGATACGGTCGAAAACTTTTAATTAGTGGCGAGTACAGATGTGGATGGATCCTTATGTGCGAGCTTCAACGTCCTCGTCCCACATTTTCCTTGGTTTATATGGAGATATCTCTTGCAACGTTCCCAATGCGAAACGTCAGAACGATGAGCGGTTTTCTTTCCTTATCTTTCTCTTTACCTTTCTCTGTTTCATGCTTTCTTTTTATTAATTTTTTTCCTTTTATTTTGTTTATTTTTTTCTTTTTCATTTTCATTGATGTCGAGTACATACTTTTTGGATGCATAGGTTGGATACGTCTGGCCCCGGTGTCTTACGGAATTCCTTTTGTTATCTTTTAGTGGTTCCTTGTTTTTCCATAGTATCATTGCTTCTTCTGGTTCGAGTTTGGCGACACATTTTCACACATCATCTCGATATCGAATTCCCTTATAGTTAAAAGCTTTGTCCGTTGATATTTTGTGGATTTAGTGCTGGGACTAGGAAGGTAGGAAACCGATTACAATTTCTGGTGCTGATTTTGGCAGGGTGAAGTTGAGAAAGAAACGAGGAGATTTTTTGTGAGGGCTGATTTCGCGAGTCTTTGATTCTTCTTGATTTTGGTTAAAGATTTTCATATGGGAGTTTTGGCTTGGATATGAGGAACAAAAACAACAAACGGAAAATGGAGTCTTCTGGGTGATGCTCTAAGTGTACCATTATTTTTATCAATGGAGATACATTTCCTGACTATTTCCTTCTCTCCCAATTTGGCTCATACTGAATGTTTCCTTATTCCTTTGGATATACGGGTCTTTAAGATGGCAAGAAGAAAAGGGAAGAGGAAAAGGGGAAGGAATGAAGAAAGCAAATGAGTAAATAAACATGGACATGGTTTATGAAAACAACTAATTTCGTTCGCTATATCTGCCTTTGTTAATATCCAGTCTCAAAGTAGTGAAGTTGAACATACCGGATCCCCTCGCCAATTTCTCAAGAAGCAACCTTCAAACTTGTTGGTGTGAGTCCTTATTATGAGTGGGGAACAGACACCCAATGGTCAGACTGCTGCAACCCCTGCAGCACGGAGAATCTGGGCGTGGTTGCATGTAAGCTCATCGCCTACGAACTTAGGTGTCTGCCCGAGCTTCTCTGGATTGCTCTGA